ATATATATATATATATATAAAATATCCAGATATGTTTGCATCATTTAAGGAAAATATATCAGTATATACACCTGCTGAGCAACCCACAACAATAGCCACAACTGCTCTGAAGCCACCCAGGTCAGAAAACAACTTCAAAAGTAGATATAATGATAACTTGAAGCTAGACAGAATTTTTACAAATGATGCTTCAGAATCTAGATGCTATTGGTGCTTATTAATGGATGTTCGGATCCTGATGCAGGATCTTGATAGCAGGGAGCTCAAAAATTGAACTCTATGCTCAATGGTGTCATGTCCAATGGTAACATCCTAAATCTAGCTGGAATGCAGTGGCTTGTGTAATGGATGGCAGCCATTTACCTTTACACAAAAGTAGGAAAGTACTAACCAGTTTCCTGTGCTGTGCTACATTCTTTGGGGGTGCAGGTTGTAGCCACGTTGGTTTAAGGACACAGACAGACAAGGTTCTTTGGGTAAATCCAATATCTTTTTTTAGATCAACTCAAATATTTGGACAAATTCTTAGTCAGTTTTCAGGCACAAACACCCTTAGTCATTCTTTGGGTGTATTTTACCATATCTATAAGTGTGTGTGTGTGTGTGTGTGTCCACACACATTTGTGGTAGCTATATATCACGCAAAGGACTGGTATGCAACTCTTATTCATGGTAGAGTGAGGATTCTGCTGAGTAATTTCAGTGTCTTTAATGGGAGTACCTATGTGAGTTAGACCTTCCTCACGTAAGTAAGGGCTGAAAGATCTAGCGCAGAAATATCACTTCTAGACCTGAGATATTACAGACTGTCTATTATACTTTCAGGAGACAAGTGAAGAGCTCTTGGTTGAGAATACGTGTCAGGGAAATGACATGTTTTCATCACTTCCAGCATTGGTTATAAGACTCTGAATACATTATCTCACAGAAGGGAAAATGACATTTAGATTTTTTATCACAGTGGAAATCAGCAAATGCAAGTTACAATGTAATTTTAACAGACAAATAACATAGATTTCTACCATTTATCACAAAAAAAAACCCTGAAGGCATTTTCCCCCTTTTAATGAGAAAAAAATTCAAAAGAGCAAGGTAGATAAATAGAGGGGTGTTCTAGGACAATAGGTAGGAGGAGAAATGTGTCACTTAATTGGCTTCTCATTATTTAAGTTCTGGGGGTCCAAGTCTGCATGCCAGTGGGAGAGTCAGCAGGACTGGGCCACTCATGGGAGCTGGTTTATTAATTAGTACAAAGTCTAAAATATGAATATATGTTCCTGCAACTAGAGATCCAAGTTTAAAAAAAATTCCAGACACTAAGGCCTCTGGCACATGTTCATTTAACGGCATGTTGAGATATGACTCCTTGTCTCGGCATTCTCACCTTCTGCCATGCCACATGGGCAAGGCAGAATGCATGATTTTGGGATCAGAAATCATATACTGGTCACACCCTTACTACCTGTCAGTACAGGAGGAGCCTGGGAACATCATCATGATCCCAGACTCCCCCTGCACCAGCAAATTGAAAGCCAGTGCCCATAGTCTAACATGAACCGTTGCATTCCCATGTCTGGGACCAACTGTCAAGTGATGGTTGGTCCCAACCATAGAGTCTCATGCATCAGGATGTGAGACAACCTCATGTGTAGCCCAGCTGCACATGTGTTTTTTTAGGGTCTTGGTGCACTCCAGGGTGTGGGAAAGGTTCCCAGACCCTGGGGTCCCCATATCCTAGGGATGTCAGAAAACCTGCTTGTCCAGCCAAGGACCCAGGATCAGGAAACCTCTCCCCAGTCCCAGGGTCCCTGTGGCTGGGATGTGTTGAGTGCCTTGATCCTCAGTTCCCTGAGAGATGCAGGGCAAAGTAGTCAACCTGCAGGGTTTCAGGGAGTCCTGTGGCTTCTTGTGACCCAGCACCAGAATATGCCTTGCTCCTCTGCCCCTGCTAGCTGCAGGGCAAGGCAAGTCCTATGCTGGGTCACAGGGAGCTCCAGCTGATTGGCTCCCCTCAGCTCAGCACCCTGAAAACACAAAGCTGAGTGTAGAAAGCAGGCATCATGTGCCATGGCAGGGCCACCCACCATACATTCTATTTAAGGTGCAATAAAAATTAGCACTAAAAATATTATGCATATTTTGTGGAATATTTTTGTGGCTGGTTTCTCATTCTGTTGCACCATTTATTGCCTGAACATATGGCCAGGTTACTATGTATAACACAATTAACAGGTTAGTGACATCTTAAGTGCCAGGGGTCCAAGATGGAAATAACCTGTGATGACCCAAAGGACTAAATTCTACTGAAGATTGGGCTGTGCTTTCAATAGTTTCTAATCAGAGTCAGTATTTCTTTTATCAAGAAAAAATAATCCATGCTATGGGCACTGAACAAATAAAACACAGAGCATCCAGCATTTACTTGTATGCCAATATTTTCTATAGGTATAAAAGGTATTAAGCCATGTCTACATGGTAAATTTAAAGTGCTCCCAAGTGACATCCTCAAACATGCTTTTAGATACATCCAAAAGCAGCATAGCCATGTGCAGGTTGGACAGGCTAACTAGCACTGATCAATAGCCCAGCCACGGTACTCCATGGATACACAGCCTCTGGATCAGGAATCAATTTGCTCTGCAGCCCAGGAAGTGTGCTATATAGATAAAGCTTTATATCTTTAGCCGCACTGCATCTTACTAAAGGTAGAGGCCTGCACAATGCACCCTATTTGGAATCATTAAATTTATCTGCTGTCTTGCACCTTGGCAATAAACCATAGTAGGTGGAGTATTTTGGTACTTTTGCCCTTTTATTGTGAACCATTACATGGGGATCATCCATTGCAATATAGGCTCAGATGGAGGGATCACATTTCATATGATTAATGAGTGTTATACCTTGATCCTTCTCTCGTTTCAATTCTATGTTTTCTAAGCTAATATGAGCATTCATGCTGCATTTCGGCCAACAGTTCATGGTTTTATCAAATGCTTTAATGATAACTGTAATACCAGAAAGTAGATAATATTCCAGTGAAACTTGGGGCTTGTCTGATTACTCTCAGTGGGGCCTGATCTGAATAAGAACTGAACACAGAAATACTGTATTATAAAATTATAAGACCCAGAAGTTATACATTGGCTTTAGTTCTCAGCTATAAAAATTATTTCCAATATTACAGCAGAGAACTATAGACTGATCATCAATAGGCTGAATTCTGATTTGTGAATACTGAGGGGGGCTGAGGAAATCATTCTAGAATGATGCTGTTTCTGAATTAATCATGTCTAAGAGAAATTTCTGATGTGAACAAAAAGAGGACAAAATTACCAGGTACAAGGAAGAACAAAACCAGGCCACTGCCAGGATAACAGCTACAGACAGGCCTGGGTCACACAGGAAGGACCATGTCCATAAGGGGTGGTAGGAACAGAAGTTTCAGTGGAAGTTATTCTGTCTACAGTGTGAAACACTGGAAACCCAAACATATAAATATCCTTCCCAGCAGAAAAGCATAATTTTTAACATAAAAATAAAATATGTTCCAAGTCCAGATTTATCATTTGGTTAAAACATCAAAATGACTTTACTGGGGGTGGGATCCGTACATATGTATTGACAGCACTTTGGACTCTACCCAGTCCCTCTACACAGACATCAACCTCACTGATCTTTCCCTTTACATTATAAATCTAGCTCAGGGTGGGCAATTATTTCAGGCAGAGGGCCGCTTACTGAGTTTGGGCAAGCTGTCAAGGGCCCCATGGGTAGCCCCTCCCCTTGACAGATGTCCCGCCCCTGGCCGCCGTCTTGTGACTAGAAGCGCTGCCTCCTAACCCCTGACCTTTGCCACCAGAAGTCCCTCCCCTTGCCCCCCAGAAGTACTTCTTTCAGCAAGGGGTTTTGCAATCTCAAAACCAGAAAAATACCAAATTATATTTTAAAAGAAAACATCTACAACATTCATTAATTTGATTTAAAAATATATTCTTATCCTGATTTACATGTTTGTGTAGTGTACATAGAGTACCACAGTAGCTTAAAATGAAGTCTTACTCTTGTACGTTGTGGGGGTGAGTATAGGTTTGTGGAGGGCTGTGGGTGTGTGAGGTGTGGGGGAGAGTATGGATATATCTGTGGGGGTGGATAGGTGTGGGGAGATGTGGGGGGGTGAGGGAGCATGTAGATGTGTGTGTGGATATGTGGAGTGTGGGTGAGTATGGGGTTTGTGGGGAGCTGTGTGGAGGGGGAAGGTGGCTGGGGTGTGTGAGAGGGTGTGGGTGTGGGGGTCTGTGTGTATGGCAGTATGAGGGGGGTGTGGTGTATGTGTATGGTGGGGTGTGCGTGTGGGACTCACCCTACGAAAATACACACATACTCTGTCCCTACCTACCTACCTACACACACACACACACACACATACTCTCCCTGACTACACACACACACACCCTCTGCCCCTGCCTACACATACACACCCTCTTCCCCTGCCTATACACACACCCCTCCCACTCCTGGCCCCAGGGTACTGGAGCAGCCCATGCTCCCCTGTCCAGCAATATAGCTGGCAGCCACATGGAGCTGAAGCAGTTCAGGGGCAGGAAGGCAGGAAAATGGCTGGGGGTGAAGTGGGGCTGGGCTGCTTGGTCCTGTGAGCTCCCCCTGGGTCCTACTGTTCCTGGCTCCTGTCACCTTTGACAGGGAGCCAGGAGCAAATAAATTTTAATTTACTACATTTTTTAGGGGCCCTGTGGGCTAGATAGAATGGCCTCATGAGCCAGATCCAGCCCACAGGCCATATTTTGCCCATCCCTGATCTAGCTGCTACCATGCACTTACTGCCTCCTGTTAGGGTGACAATAATTTGGATTATTAGGGAGCACTGGATTTGCAACTGAATACAAAGGCATGACCTGTGGCCTAGCAAAACTGCTGCCCACAAGGCAGAAAGATAGCTAAGCCAGCCATTTGCTTATGCTAAGTAACCATCTTAACTGTGTCAACCATTTTCTGAGAAAAAAGCAGCAAGTGAATCTGTGCGAGTCTGTGCACTGTGAACCAGCTACAGTAAGGAACAAAATAAGATACAGGGGCCCAAAAAAGGTGGAAGATGGTACAATCTGAGACAGAAAAACAGACTGGAATGTGGAAAACAACACATAATTGGTAACAGAATCCAAGATGAACATATGCAAAAAGCTGAATGGTGATTGGTGATGAAGCCTCCAGAAGCTTCCAGGTTTTGGTCAAAGTCCCCTCATTGACCAAAGAGCAGGAGTCAAGGTCTTAGACATGCACTCATAGCAAAAAGGCATGTAAATGAATGGACTACGCAGGCAATTCGATGTTAATGAAACAAAGAGTAAACAGAGGCTGAGCTTGAGATGGGAGGAGAAATGGGTGGAACACAGGAGGGGCAAGGGTAGAGTGAATGTTAATGACTATAAACCATAATGGATAATTATGGGAAAAAAACTATTGTTTGCTGCTGCTTCCCATATTCTGTTAGTGAGGGAGCTTGTCCGAAGCTGTCTCCGTTCTGAATAAAACTGTTGCGAGCAATGTGTGCTGGTATTTGCTCCCTGCCTGCTCTGGCTAATGAGCAACAGGATCCACGGGCAATTGGACCGCCATCTTCCTAGTCGTTGGGCGCCGCATGGAGTCGGGGTCTAACACTCCCATTTCTAGAACAAACAGTTTCAGGACAAAACAGGACAGAAAACAGAGCCCAGTGATTCAACTGCAGGACTAAGAGGCAAAAGACAATTGCTAATCTTTGATCTGCTTTGGCTTGAGGTCCTCAGGCCAGTCAGCTAATCTTCCCAGACATGAGTTCCCAATAAGTGGAATGTGGATGATCACACTTCCCTACTCCGCAGGGCTGCTGAGACTTCATTCGTTAGTGTTTGTGAATGCCTTAGAATATTCTAGCTAAGGGACGTGCAAAGAATTGTTATTAATTATCATCACTCATCACCAGCAAATCTAGCCACTATATTTAGCTTGTTTATTTCTGGTTTAGATTTTTTGTAAATAGACTCATTATCATTTTCTGCATACGATATTCATTTTCCCCAGAAAGGAAACAAGATCAGGCATGAAATTTGCCATGAGAGCTCGCTGTTACAAGATTCTTCCACTGTCAAGATCTGTGATGGCACTGGTTGTTTAGCTAGCACTTTGTTGATAACAAAATGCACTGTTTTCTCACACCCAAGAAGGATTCTGGGCAGTTTCCCAGGAAAATCCTAAAAGTCAGTGGGAACATAGTTGTCATTTGTAGGGTATGTCTACATAGCACAACATGATGCCAAGGACGGATACCCAGAGCGTGTTTTGTACCAGCTAACTTGGGTACTGTACTAGCTTTGTCACATGAGTGTCATATTCCAATGCAGACAATGTATCCTGTTTCTCCACAGGCCAAAGTAACCTGGACACAATGTCATGCTAATATAGTCATATTTTCTCTAGTTATGCATCTAACTCCAGATACAGAGAGAAACTTATGTCTACCTAGGTTTCATTGTCTTTCAAACCCTTTCCTGGACTTAAACACTGAAAGTAAGTCTGTTCTTGCAAAACACTACCACAGGGTAATTTACTACCCCCATTTACCTGGTATCCTAC